ACATGTGAATATATTACTCGTAAGTATTCATTTTAATATTAATTCATAGAGGATTCTTTTTCTATTAAGTTTATTATTAATCTAAGTGTAAAAGTCAAGGCTCACTGTGTGGCATGTACTGAGAAACAGTCTTTGATATTTTCTAATAATTTGCATTTTTTGTTTTAGAAAAACTTGCTTTATCAAAATGTTTACCAAGTCAACCAGGAGGAAGAGAGAAAATATCACCCAATAAAGGCTTTTTGATGACACTTTGCTATTTTGCCAATACTATAACTTTTAGGCAAATAGCTGAATTGTTTAATTGCTCGAAAAGTGCTGCATTCACAACTATAAGAAGGGTGGTAAAATTTTTGGTTAATTGCAGTCAAGAATATATTAAGTGGCCAGATGGGGACAATGCTGTCTCAATTGTTAATTGTTTCAAAGAAAAACATGGCATAGATGGTGTTATTGGAGCAATTGATGGCTGTCATATTAAAATTAACCGGCCAATAAAGGATGCACATGTAAGTAATTCTTACATAAATGATTTTCTATTAATAGTATTAATATTAATTAATTCATTTTTCTTTTTTTCCATGTTCTGTACTATTGTATTATGGTATTTTTTTTTAGATAAACGATATTATTATTATTAAATATAACAAACATTTTTCAGGTATATTGCAATAGAAAAGGAGACCATCATGATACAAGGAAGAGAAGATATGATACGTAGCAGTGCAAAACTTGTCAAGGTCTGCGCAATGACGTCAGCTAGTTGTTCGTGGCGCGAAACACAGGAATTTGATATTATTTCGATTGTTTGTAACTTTTGTTCATGTATCTATCATAACTTTTATTAAATATTATTTTAATAACATATATCTATATGTGTTTTATACCTGGCTTACAATTAAGAATATTAAAGGCGCATTATATTTACTTAATAAATAATACTTATTTCAATTAAATTAAATTTGTGGTATGAATAAAGATTAAAATTCTTTTTATGAATGAATACAAATAAATGAACAAATATTTTGAATAATCCTTTTTTTAATGTTTACTAATAACAAAAAAAATTATATTTATAAATATATTTTTTAAGTTGGGATGAGTTGAAAGTGAAGTTTATATCAGATACTCGTCATGATAGGTAAAAATGCAACAATTGGGTATATTATTAGGTATGTATTTTTTTACTAAGATGACAATTAAGAGGAATAGGTTATGAAAAAATATAAGTAATTATAATAATAATTATAAAGTATCTTAATAAGAGGAAACCAGGTTGTTTATACAAATAAAACCTATATATAAAATATTTTGGTTTATTTATAAATTTATAAAAAAAAGAATAATAAATTAAGTATGTTAATGACAAATTATTTTGAAAAAACGAAAAAAATGGTTTTGCAAATAAAACTACATAAAATTTAATAATTCAGTTGATTATTTTCGACATTTTTCGTTTTCTAGAAATAGTTTCATTATGTAAAGCCTTATTTAACTCCCTTATTCTAAAAAACATTCGAGAACGAAAAAATAACTTTTTGTTTTCAACTGAACATAAAACCGAAGAACTTAAATCTAATAATTTCTTTAAATAATTTTTACAAATAAATAAACCATCCTTATTTAAAGATTTAAAAATTTTTTCGAGGTCTTCCAACTGGGCCATAAATTCGGGAGTCGGCTTTGATAAGCCTCCCTCACTTAGATGTGAAACCCATGTATAGCTGGATGAAGTAGCTGTTGAGGTATCTACTTGTCTAAGCTTATGGCAAATATACCCTGCCAAGTTTTCCAATCCGTCGTACTCAATATCACTTAGATCATTATCAATTGAAGTAAGAGATGTTGGATCAGGAATCTCCTCAGGTTCTTCGATATTATCAAATGTGGAAAAATATTGTCCACATAAATTTGTTTCTTCAATATGAACATCAGGAGTGTCATCCTCTTCAATGTTTCCAAAACTTGAAAGAGAGCCCTCATTCCGACCAAGAATGTAGGACCGTAGCCTGTATTTAAACTCAAGTGCATCTGGATGGTCATGAAGTCCTCTCTTGGCCCGTATGGCTTCAAAGAAATTCTCCAAAACATCTTGATTTAATCTGTATGTTAAAAGGTATTTTATAAAAAATCTTCTCTTTAAATCTTCAAATAATAATTTTAATGAATTATTTGTCATAATTATTCCTAAAACAAAAAATAGAGACATAATGATTCTCAAGGTAAAATCAAAATTTTGTTGTACCTTTTTGAAATGGAAGTAAAGTGTTTTTGCCTTTCACTCTCATGTTTTCCATAGTCACATTCATATTATTAATTATGCTTTCTTGGAGTTCTAATGCAAGCCCATAAGCCTTGGTTCGATCTCTACTATCACTTTTAGGAACTCTTACATTTAACACATCAAACCAGTCATTTACCTTAAAATTATGCATATTATTTCATTAACAAAACAAAAGTTAAATATACATACCAATTTAAAAAATTCTGAACATTCTACCCAGTTTGGTTGCTTCAAGTTGTCCATTGTTCCACATCGAGTGATTGCCATAGATATTGTATGTGAAAATAACTTTGTGGCCAATTTTACTTTTTGACGGGCAGCTCCTTGTACATTTAGGGACTCTTTGGAAATTTTGTGAGTTATTCTTAAATCAGAAGTTGTTGTTTCATCCAAAAGTTCTTCAATTATAGCTTTATTTATTTCCTTATTATTTACTATAAGCCCATGGTCAACAAAGTGGTTCCTTAATAACTTCATAAGATGAGGAACATCAGCAAACACAAAAACTGGTTCACCATTATAAGGATTTGTAAAGTAACTTTTTTTATAATTCACATTTAACTCATTGTGAAGTGATCTATTCCCACCGCCCAAGTCACTTACAGTGGCGACAACTTGAAACCCTGGAATAAACAATTATTAATTGGAATAAACCATTAATTAATAATACATTTATTAAAAATTAAAATTTGAAGAATAAAAAGTAAATGGCCCTAATTAAAAACTATATAAAATATATAAATACCTGAGGATTCAGCAAAGTTAATACACTCAAATAATTTTTCCTTGCTAAGTTTAAAATCATAATCATAAAAGATAGGTTGTTTCCAACTTTTGAATAATCCCCTCAATAATATAACTTGTGCATAGCTATATGGCTTTAAGGTTTTATCTTTTACTTTGTCATATAAGTAACGTTTTTTAATTTTTATTTCATCAAATGTTATCACACACACTTTATCCAACGTGGTCATATCTGATAGCTTCATTATATTAAAAACACTTTTTAATATTCCAGGGGCAATTTGAATTTTTTTCAGCCAGGATCTAAGGGTGGATACTGCAGGGAAGGGATACCCTTTTTTTAAAAGTAATCTATATGCTCTAGGACCAGCAGAATATATTACGATAGATTTTGAAATATCTTCAATTGACCATTTTAGGCGAGCTTTTGAGCCTTCAAGTTTTTTTAGTTGTTCACTGCTAAAAAGGTTTCCAATGATATCTTGTCTCTTTTCCAAAATCTTTATTTTTTCTTGAAGACTGGCTATTAACTTGTCACGATCATCTATTTCAGTGCTTGTCTCCGTATTGACTCTGCAAAACATTATCAAATACAAAAAATTAAAAAAAGTACAACTTTTATGGTTTATATTTTTATCATTATTCGCACCAATAGCAAATAATGATAAAAATATTAATTATGTACCCAATGTCTCGAGTAGAAGCATCTCCTAAATCCATATCATTGATAGGAATTACACATTCACCTCCTCCCAAAGAATCACCACTATCAGAAACACTTGCAGAAACACTCGCAGAAACATTTACACTACAAAAACAAAATATTCTACTTATGCACCAGAAATACATGCCCATGCGTTTTTAAAATTTCTAAATTATAGTTATTATAGATGTTTGTTAATAAATGTGTATAGGTACCTACTTACCCCCTTAAAATAGTTTGTACTAATTCCTTTCTTTCCCTTTTTTTATGATTTCTGTCCTGCGAGCTTCACTTTTTTCTTTATCAGGTAAAAAAGGTAAGTTTTTTGATGGAATTTTTTAGGGGTCGGTGTTTTTTTGGTGTGTATCCAAGCAACTCATGTTTTAGGTTTCGCTCATAATCGAGATTACTAAAATGTTTTGAGCAAATCCGAGCATTTTCAACGTTAAACTTATCACCTCGTTTACACAAATGTTTCCATACACTCTGCGTTTTTTTGTCTTTTGGGAAGCTGAAAAACTTAATTCCAGGTGAAAAATCTTTCCCCTGATTGTCGACACCGCATCCGTATACCGCACACCTCATTTTAATAACTTTTTCTTAGATTTTCACTGCAATTAACCTATAACCGCTTTGTCAAACATAAGAAAGAATGGCGTTCTACTCACACGCTGACGTCAGCAGCTATAATTAGACACGCCCATTCCTGCGCGATGTCTTATCTTCTCTTCCTTGTATCATGGGAGACCATAGCATATTGCTTCAAGGCACCGTTGACAATAAAAAACGGTTTATAGATGTATTCTGTGGAGAGGCGGGGTCTATACATGATGCTCGTTTATTGAAGAGGTTTCTCTGTAGTCTTCCTTTCTCTTTAAGTATAATTTTTTTCCTGCAAAATATTCAAGAGTAGCATTTTTCCTCTTTTTTCGGGAATTCACAACTTCATTTATTGGCGGATTATTCTCTTTTTCTATTTCATCAGCCTGGCTTGTACTAGCCTCACCCAGTAACTGTACGTCAATGGAATGTGGGCTACTATTGTTGGGTTGGCTACCCAAAAAACCATCCATTTTTTCAAAAAACTTAAAACAGGTGGGTCCTCTTCCTGTTTTAGTCTTTGCATCTTTGCACACTGTAGGTTCTTAACAGGTTTTGCCACTTTTTAAGGCATCCAGTTGATGTCGTCTAAAAATAAGCTTTCTAAGTGAACCTGTGTAATAATGTTAAAACAACTGTTATCTTACATTTGTTTTTAAGCTTTCCAATTCAGTGGCTATTAGATTCCAAAAGTTTTTCTTTTTTTTTTGGATTGTGCAAGTCTTCGTAATGGGCTTCGACACAGTCAAGTAGTTTGACTGTGTCATTATAGCTCCATATGCTCTTTTCTTTTACTGCAAAAAACAAAACTAAATGTAGCTACATAATATTTTTAAGAAATAAAACTTACACAAGTGGTCTCCAGAGAAATTTGGTTCTTCTATAGTCGCATCACACTCTGTTTCTTGAACTGCTTCACTAAGCGTTTCATCAATGTCCGTAGTCCCTATGTAATTAATTTTCGCGTGGCGCAATATTGACTCCGCAAATTGAGGTTCTTAAAGAATACATTGAAATATAAAAATAAAACTATTAATTTTAGTTTATTACCTTCCTGCACCCTCTGTGCATCTTCAGAAGACAAATTTAGAGTATATGTAAGAGACGTTTCATGATCTATAATACTTACTCTTTCCATAATTCCACAATTACAATTTTTCGAAGAGTATTAATTTTATTAACCTAAATAAAACAAGGTTCTGTTATTTAAAAACATAACAAATCAATAATTTCTTCATTCCCTCCACTTTATTTCCGACTTAGTTCAAACTGATTCCCCCGCACAGCATGTGCAGTATTGGTAAGGGGGGAGGAAAAATCTCAGCTCACTTTATGGTGTGTGAAGCAAAAAGAACGCGCACATTTGCAAATTTTACCGATGTGAGCTGAGATTAACTAAGATCTCAGGCGAAAAGAACGCACCTTATGCTCCACACCAGAAAGTCCACACAATTTTTTGGGTTATTTATTTGTCACTGTCGTAATATTTTTTAAATATAATACAATATATGTATATTTTATGTTCTTAATTTAGACCTTTATCATAGAGAAAGAAACAACTAGAGGAGGCATGGCTAACTAAGCATCATCTTATGCGGTAAGAGAGGTGCTTTAAGCAGTTTGTGACATGCGGCCGACTGGTGAACTCTTTCGAATTTTGTTTTGAGATTTGTTTATACAGGGAAGGTGGGGTGAGCGGAGTGTCCAGACACGTAATGCAACGTTAAAAATGTATTTGCCAAATTAAAAGGCTATATTACGAATTCGAGCGATTGGAAATACGTTGCGTCGCTTCCTACAGTAGCTTAATTATAATAAATAGAGGAATGTTTTAATTTTTATATGTTTATTAAAAAATACATTAACAATGATATAAAATAAAATATTTAATAATGCACTACTTATAATTTAAAATGTAAAAAATATTAAATATAATATATATATAATAATGTCGCCCCCTTTTAACTTTTTTATTTTAAGTGTCCCAAAAAAATTAAAAGTGTGGTTATGTAGGTACTGAAAAATACTCTTTTCGACGAAAAAAGGAATTGGATAATTATTATTTTTTTTAATGGATCACCCTATATATAAATTTATTTTTCGATTCCTTGTAAAATTCTAAGCATAATTTATATAACATATATAAATTATTTTTAAGATAATAAGGGGACATCCATTAATTAAGTGAGACAAAAATGGGGGAGGGGTCCAGAAAAATCTCACCAAATCTCATTTTAAGCGAGGGGGGGTCATTTAAAATCTCACCTCAACTTTTGAGTTTAAAAAATATGTATTATAATTTAAATTTACTGAACTTAAAAATAGGTTTTCATATTATGGTTTTTCATAATAAAATTGTTTTGTTATTAAATTATAAATATTTTTATTTGGAGTGTGTATAGTGGCAACTTCACCTATATTTTTATTTAATTTAATTAATGATTTTAAAATATTATCATTAACATATTTATTTTTTATAAGAAGAGCAAAACATTTACTCATTTCATAGTCAAGCGAGACACAGTGACCTACAGAGGATTTAATAGTTTCAATATTAATGCTTCCTTGGCAAATACTTACATTATCATTTTGAATGTCACTTTTAATCTAAATAAAATTGTTAGTCATCAAGCACCTTATGTTCAACCGAACAAAATTCAGGGTTGGACTTAACCTTATTTATATTTATAGAATAATCAAATTCATGACGTTCAACTGAACGAGATTTTGAATTAAATCTAAAGTAATAAAAGAGTAATTAATTTTCTTTCTCTAAAATCGAGAAAACATTCGTAAGTTTCTAAAAAATTAATTCCTAAAATAACATTATACTTAATGTTTAAATTACTTTTGAAACACTTTATTTCTTTTTCCGGCGCTTCCGAGAAAAAGGGGAAATTGAAAGATTAATTTATAATTATTGTTTCATTAGTTATTCCTTGCAATATTATATTTTCTTTAAATGCACTAGCTAAACTTGGTTTAATTACCAAAATACTTGCTCCGCTATCTACTAAACATTTAAGGGATTTATTTTTATTTTGAATATAATACAAGTTTTCGTATTGATTTTTATTTTTATTTATGATAGAGATAAATTCTGTAATTCTCGGCTTTTTTGGCTCATACTGGCTTTTGGTGTTTGACCGCGAGGACCAGTTACAGCTCAGGTTTCTTCCAATTGGAAGTTTAAAGAATTTGATTTAGCATTTACATTAAAATTTCTATAGTTAGGATTTTGTTGTATTACTGAGGGTCGATTATTGTCATTATTAATATTTTGATTATTATTCGGATTCCTATTATAGTTTAAATTTGGTGTATTAAATCTTGGAGGATTAAAATTTCTTTGATAGTTATTTTGAACATTAGCTCTATTAACTTTATTTTGAGGGTTAATATTATTGTTGTTGGGAAATCTGTTTTATTAAAAATTAGGAATTCTATTAGGATTAAAATTATTATATTGAAAATTATTTGAATTATTAAATCTTTGATTTTCAAACCGTCTTTGTTGAATTTTAGGTTGATTTGTCCATGAAAATTACTTTGTTGTGGTTGTTGACGAAATTGCGCATTGTTCTTCACTTGAAACAATTGAGATTTACGGGTTATTCTCTGAATGCAATCTAAAATATTTTGAGGATTGGACGCACGGATTGTTCTAACCTAGGCTCTAAACCTGTTAAAAAAATATCCAATGAAATTGTATCGATTAAATTACGTTGAGATAGTTTTTGTTCGTTAGTTAAATCTATTTGACGATTAATTAAAGTATGAATTTTATAAGATAAAGCCTGAACTCGCGTTACAAAATGCATAGGAGATTCTTTAGTTTGTTTTAAAGTTTGTAAATCGTGTACTAGACTTGTAAGATTTCTAGTATCACCAAAGTTTTCAATCAATGAATCCTTTTTTTCATTACAAGTTGTCAAAAATTTTGAATTGACTTCTTGTGAAGCTTTGTTTTTTAATTTATTTTTAATGTGAACTGTTAAAAGAACAATTTAATCTTCCGTGCAAATCTGAAAAGCAGTATTACACGAAGATACAAAATAATCTAATGTGACTTGGTTACCATCGTATTCTGGAATTAAAGCAAATAATTCAATGACCTTATAGACAGGGACATTTTCAACTATATTATCATTTAAATTACCGTTTTCAGCCATTTTTATTTATTAATATTATACTTGATAATACAATAAAATTATTATTTAAAGTATTTATTAGAAAAAGTTAAATTAAACGTCGTCTGCTAATAAAATAAATTTACTTACATTGATTTCCTAGTCTTGTGTACATTTCAGTACATTTAGTTTCTATATGCCAGTTTTCTTACTGCTTTAATCTTCTTATTTCTTAGGTTTCTTACTTCTTAGTTTTCTTACTTCTTAAATCTTCTTATTTCTTAGAATTTCTTACTTCTTAGGTTTTAGTAGTGTTTTAGTTTTCCTTGGAACTTCTTTTTCTTATTTTTTCTTCCTACCGACTGCACCAAATTTTTTTTATATCTCTGATGTAGAAATAGCCTTTTTAAAAAAGGGTTTATTTATTTTGGGATAAATACCATTCATCACAATATAAGAAATGTTGAATTGGAATTATATTCCAATTATTATTAAAGATGATTAAAATTTACTATTGTTTCATAACTATATATTAAATTAAACTTATTTATAATAGACTTAAAAAGATTACTAACGAATGTATATTAACCTTCTGTCGGGCGTGGGGTCTAAAGTTACCATAAGGGGCGCGGTGTATCAAAATGATCTCGCTAAGAAAATGTAACTTTTATGACAGTATGTTGTAAGAGGAGTATTAATTTAACTTGGAAAGTTAATATATTGTTAGTAATGTAGAGAAAAGTGTTAGGAAATGCATAAAAATATTTAGAAACGAAGAAAAAGCATTTATTAAAATAAAATAAAAAAAACTTACAAAACTTTGCAAAATATTGAAGATAAAAAACAAGGTAACTAGATATGACAAATAAAAAAACATGTTTTTAGTCAATAGGTACGATTTTCAGTTTCGTTTCGCTGCTGTAAATCAGTTAAAAAATTGCTGCATTTAGAACAAAAAGGGTCAATATGCATTAAGCAAACTGGATCTTTGCATTTTTTGCAATTATATTTAGTTAGCCTCTGTTTTACAGTGCACACCTTGCAGCGTTTTCTTTTTGTGCCACCTATATTTTCTTCAACATGCTCTTGTAAATGGGGTGGTCTGTATTTGTTAAGTCTCAGTACTAATTCATGATGCAATCCTGTAGTGTTTACACTTCTCTGAACAATGTGCGGTAAAACTAGCTCATGAGACATTTTTTTCAAAAAAGTCTTTCTTCTGAAATTGTTTTCTGCATTGTTGCTGAAACCTGAGCGTTGATTCCACTCATATTTAGCATTGCAAAAAATATGACCATTGGCCATCGTCGTACGTTTCTTGCAACATTATAGGAAGCACATAATTTATCGGTAGTATCAACTCTTCCTTTGGTCTTATTATAAAAGGTTATTATGACTGGTTTTTGTTTATCTGCGCTGTCAAGGTCGATTTCCTTGTCACTATGTAAGCTAGATGCTAATATAACAGTTTTATTCTTATTTGGAACGTAAGAGACCAATGAACATCCATTCTTGAATCCAAATATACTAGTGATGTCTCGTAGGTGCCACAAATTCCGGTGGAAGCTCCCGCTTATTTTTTTTTACGGTTCCGACGTATGAAAGTTTTTTTGCGCAATTCGTCTATAAGAGGGAAACTAGTAAACCAGTTGTCGGCAGTTATATTGCGGCCTGAATTATAAAGGGGATCACAAAGACGCAGAACTATATCTGCGGGTCTATTGCTCAGACAAAATTGGCCTTCAGGTTGCAACCCTGTATATATTTCTAGATTATATAAGTAAAATACTTTGGCATCAACAAGTGCAAAGATTTT